AATCTCACTTCTCTCAAACCTCCACTCTCAGACTCACAAGGTCATGGGTGTGTGGGGTTGAACCTGACCAACCTATCATTTTCTGTCAAGTTCTTGGAACAGCCTTTACATCTTTGCCTACTAAATGTGGTCATCAGTGACATCATGTGTAGCTTGTTAGCATTTAAAAAAAAAAAACCTCAGCCCCCACCCTAGGCCTTATTATCATGACTCATGCTCAATACAGGTTTGACCTTCTCAACCCCCAAGACATTATACACCCTTCATCTCAGGTCTCCACAGCTTTGCAAGTACCTTTTACAATTTCCAGCATCATAATACTGTTTCAGTCATAGCTTAGGGCATAATACACAATAAGTCATAAATATGTGAGTGAATGAAACTTTTGATCTATTAATTAATGGATGTTTACTTTGGGACTTGAAGAATCACGTGTTCAAATTAAAACCAACTTGTTAAGCAGTCAAATGGTAACTCTGGCAAGGTGTAGTGGCCCATACCTATAATCCCAGCACTTGGGAGGCTGGGGCAGAAAGACTGTCACAAGTTGGAGGCCAGACAAGGCTACATAGTTCAGTTTCAGGCCAGTTCAGTCTGAGACTCCTGTCTTAAAAAAATAAAAACAAAAACAAAACATGGGCCAGGCACAGTGGCACACACCTTTAATCCCAGAGCTTAAGAGGCAGAGGAAGGTAGATCTCTGTGAGCTCAGGACCAACCTTGTCTGCATAGCAAGTTCCAGGCCAGCCAGGCCTATACAGTATGACCCTGTCGAGAAAGAGAGAGAGAGGATTGAGCTGGAAGTAATTTTCATTTAGTGGCAACTAGTTGGAGCTTACAGTGATAGACATGAGCCAGCCAGGTTTAAGAGAGATTGTGGAAATGGCTATGGGCCAAACCATGGGAAAGCTGACATTTAAAGAACCTACTACAGAAGGCAGTGAAGGACAGGTCAGGCAAGAACCAAAAATAGGTGTCAAGGGACTTCAAAGAGATAAACCCATTCAAAGGCAGCAGCGAGGTAAAAAGAGAACAGTAAGATCCAGGCATGGAGGCTCACTCCTGTGATCCTATAACCCCAGCATTCAGAAGGCAGAGGCAGAAGGATGGTTTCCAGGACAGCCTAGGCTATATAACAGGAAAGAGACCTTGGGGGAGGGGCAGAGAACTATGGACTAACTGTATCATGAGACACAAACAGAGAGAGAACTGTGGAATGACTGTATCAAGCTAAGTAATAGATGCATTATCTCATACTTTTGGGGGGTAAGAACACTTAAAATTTATTCAGCAATTTTCAAGAATACATTATTAACTATGGTCTTTAGCACTCCCATTCTGGATATATAAAGCAAATAAGGTGCACAGAGGACAGCAGCTTGGCCACTATCAAATGGCTATAAGTGATTGGGAATTGGGGCATTTTAAGTTTTATTGATGCCATTAGACATACTTTAACAAATTTAAAGGAATGCTGGTAATAAAATCAAGCCAGGCAAAATTCCAGCAGACGGGAAGGGCTCCAGAAGATCCATCCCTAGCTGAGAGGCTTTGCATTTGAAGGCTGCTGTGGTAGAAAAGTCAGTTTTCACCCTGGTGTGGTGGCGTTCGCCTGTAGTCCCAATACTTGGGAGGCAGAGGCAGGTGAAGAAGCTCTGTGAGTTCAGGGCTAGCCTGGTCTACACAGTGAGTTCCAGGCCAGCTGGGGCTACAGGGAGGCCCTGTTTCAAAAAGCCCCCCCTAAAAAAAAAAATGTCAGTTTTTTGCTAGGAAGTGGCCCCTGTTCAGTTGCCCATGCGCCAGTGGGTGGTTCTATACGCCTGCACATGCACTGATCAGACTCACTGGGCTATGAAAAGAGGACATGAAGTTGAGAGGAGGGTCTGGGAAGAGTTGTAAGGGGAATGAAGGGTTGATGTGATCAAAATACATTGTATACTTACAGGAAATTCTCAAAGAATGAATTTTTAAAGGGGAAGAAAAAATGTTGGTGCTGTCCAGGCACTCGGGTAAATGTCTATAACATCACCACTTGCAAGGACGATGAGAAAGGAGTTCAAGACCATCCTTGGCTATAAAGTGAGCTGGAGGCCAGCCTGGGCTCCATGAGATCCTATCTCAAAACAAAGCAAAATTGTTGTGGGTTCATGGGACACATTAGTACCCAACAGCAGCCTAAGCCCCAGAAAAATCCAAAGCATTTAACTATGGCCATGATATTATAAAGTTAATCATAAAAATTCATATTTGACACATGGTCAAACCAACAGAAGGCTCTTCACAAATGACAGGTGACCAGAGGCAGAACTGAAAATGTCAATTACAGGTAATCAAAGAGGAAAAGTGGCTGTTTCAAAGGTATAATCGCAGTGACATGGGCAGACGGGACAGCAAAACTGTGATGGGGCAACGTAAATTACAGTTACCCCATGCCTCAGTTTCTCTACTCATACAACAGGAATAATTATAAGACACACCCTCAAGTGCTGCTTGAACAGATTGAAGGAGTGTATATAAAGTCCATAGACAGATTGAAGGAGTGTATATAAAGTCCATAGAGCTGGGTGTGATGATGTACTCCAGTAATCCCAGCACTTGGGAGGTGGAAGGCTGAAGCAAAAAGATTGTTGCTACATTTGAGTAGAGACTGACCTACATAGGGAGCGCCAGACAAGCCTAGGGCCACAGAGACCTGATATTAAACCAACTACAAGTCATTAGAAGAGTGGATTAAGTAAGGCTGGGGGGTTGTGTAGCTCAGTTGGTAGAGGGCTTGAAGCCCTGTGCTCCATCCGGGTTGGGTAGCATGCCTTTAACCCTAACATTTGGGAGGTTGAGGCAGGATGAAAATGTTCAAGGTCATCCACCAGCACAGGAGTTAGAAGCCAGCCTAGGATACTGAAGATCCTAACTCAAAAAAATAAGCCTAGTAACATGGTGCATGCCTTTAATCACAGCACTCAGGAAGAAGAGTCAGGAGGATCTCTAAAAGATCAAGGCCTACCTGTTCTACACAGGCAGTTCCAGGCCAGCTGCTACAACAGGAGACCCTGTCTCAAATAAATAAATTGTTCAGTCAAGGGTTTAATTTTACTACTGCTATACCTCCCCTTCCTCTACTAATAGTATGATTATGTTACTACAGAGGCAATAAAAATACCTCAGGAATTCCCTCAGCATCCAGGACATAATACAAAACTCTTTACATGATACACTGAACAGCTATAGCACTGCACTAGTTAATGTGTAAGGTTTACTTAGCAAATATGAGTCAACTGTATTAATGCTGGGCTTGATTTCACACCACTACATCTAAGATAGCCAGATTATGTACAGAAATAGTCAAAGCCATACATCAACTACAGTTTCTGAAGTGTTTGTTTTTATAGAGGGTGGGGAGGGGAGGGACTGGGGATTGAGCGCACTGAATTGCTGGGTTCTTAAGTAGAAAAACTGGGGTGTAAATAGTTATTTTGGTTAACTGAAGACATTTGTCCTTTAATGATACATTTACCACACCCTCATGTACACTCTATAAGCTGAATGACTAAGAGTATAAAAATAGTCTTAATGGTGAGTATACCTATCAAATGAGGTATTCCAGAAAGAGAAGTAATGCCACAAAAAAGGGAAGGAGGGACAGAGGAAGTTGGGGTGGATTGAGGGAGGAAGAGAAGGAAGAAGGGAGGAAGGGAAGGAGGGAGGTCTTTTACACAGTTCATTTCTCCACTTTCTGCTTGGATGTGGTCTAAACAGTATCTTCCCCAGGAAACACAAACCTGTGTTCTCAACTTGAGTTTGTTTTACAAAACAAAGACTGGGATACACCATGTAAACTCATTCAATGATCCTTCATCTTTTCCAAAAGACTTACTTTCGAAATTTCAGCCAAGCCTAAATGATCTGTATCAAAGGTGGAGTTGGAGTGATAGGCTTAGATCCACAGATTAGACTTGTTAATAGAATGTTGATCCCATGAGTAATGCTCACAGCTGTAGCATCCAACAATGGAATTAACATTTCAACAGGAAGGAGAGAGCCACCCCACTGACAGAGCCACCCGATTCTGCTCCTGAGACCCCAGACAAAAAGAAAAAATACATGTATCCTCCTTCCGGAGGCCACACAATGTGTGCCTCGTAGTCAAGCCTATAGATTTTTTTTAATGACACGTGGCTTTAAAGTGCTGCAAGTGTTCACTCTGGTAAACGAGATCAACTGGTTAAAACAGACTTGGAAAAAGGTCTGTTTCCTAGTGTCCAAATGTTTACACCTTCTAATGGTCCACGCATTTTTTAAATGCCTTTTAATTCCTCCTCCCAGAAAAAGGATTCAGTTGAAAAACGTACTTGGCGATTCCTTACAACTGCACAAGTCATCACTTGTACGTCATTATATTAAAAAATGAACCAACCCATTACAAACTCAAACTCCAGATTACTAGATTCTCCCCAGCACTGATTTCCCACGGTCGGCTTCGTAATGCTTCCTCTAACTGCATGCAGCTTGGTGTGGCTAGCCTGTTCTTTGAGAGGCTGCGGCGCCTCTTTCCTAGAGGTAGCCTGGACGACTCCCGACACTGTTCGGGCTCAGTGTCCTTTCAATAATGGCGTTTGTAATCCAGCCTCCCAGCTTGGACTACAGACACCTGAAAACTCGTAGCCGGGGGGTTGGAGATCGGAGGCCAGCGGACAATACCGAGCAAACGCGGGCAACAAGATAGGAGCAGATTAAGCAGAGGCTCTCCAGGGCACAGTGCTCTGGGGAACACGCACCGGAGGCGCCCGCTCCCGGCCCCGGGCCACAGCCACCTCCCGGCAGCTCCCGGGGCCGCCCCACCCTCCCGACTAGCGCAGGGGCCGGCCAGGTCACCCCGATGCAAGGGTGCAGGCACCGCAGCGCCTCCAAATTGCGCCCGCCCCCTCCCCCAAGCCCATTGTTCCCGGGTGGCCGCGGGCAGCGAGAGATGGGGACCCGAGATCGAAGAGCGCCCCACTCACCGGCGATCCCGCACAGAAGCACGAAGCGCAGCATCAGCGCCATGGTGGCCGCGCGACCCTGGGCGGCGGCTCGCAGGTAGAGGCAGACAGCAGCGGATCTCGGTTTTCCGAAGCCTTGCGCACTCCCGACTGGCTCCCGGCGGTGGCAGCAGCCGCAGCACCTCTGCGGCCCCGCCCCTCCCCCCGCCCCAGCTCGGCAGGTGAATCACGTCACTTCCGGCAGCAATCGGAGCCGGAGGGCTGGAGCTTGCAGTGCCAGCGGCGTGTGGTTACCATGGAAACCACGCGCAGCGCGCGAACCCGCCCGGGGAGCCTTCCATTCGGATCAGCCTCGCTCCAAGCGCGGGTATGCGCGAGAGCCACCTCCCACGTCCCTAGTCCTAGAGGTGCTGTCAGTCTCCATCCCTCCGCTACCTCCCTGTTTTGCTGGTCCAGGCTCAGACCACCGAAGCTGCGGCCACGCCCTCCCTCCCGGGGACTCCAGATCTTGGCGGCCGCCTCTCCCTCAACCCGGTGGGAGACTTGCATTCCACCGGCCTTGCAGCCACCCAGTCTGCAGCTATCCCTCCTGACCCTCGCCTGGTCAGGGGTGCGGGTATCCCGCCACCCGTGCCCCGTGTGCGCTCTGGACAGCTCCGCGCATCTGTTGTCTTCTCTCATCTTCTCTCGTGGGTTCCTGCAGAAGCCTGGACCGAAGCTTCTGCTCCAGGGTAGCCTAGAACGCGGCTACGGATTTAAATAGCTGCCCTCCCCCCACGCCATTGCGCTTATAAATTTTCTTCGTCCTGAAATTAGCCTACGAGGGCCAGACAGCTTTGAAAGCATCCCTGGGGATGGTTTAAAGACATTAGGGAGGCTTCAGGGTTGAGGGGCTTAGGAATTAGGGATTTGGAAAGTCTTTTCTCTTCAGCCCTGCCGTCCACGCTTGTCCTGATGTCATCATGCCCTTGCTTTTGGTTGCTCTTCCCTGATAACGTTTATTTTTAACTGTAGAGACTTTGGATTGCTCAACAGCCTGCGATCAGGAGTGAGAGAACTGAAGCGGTCTAGCAGCTCTGCAGCTAAAAGCTGAAGCTCCAGGTGGGCAAGTTATTTACAAGTGGTACCTACTGCAGGGGGTTGAAATGAAGGATGAAATCACGCATGAAAAATGCTTGGCTCCGGTGCCTGGGACATAGTAAGCACTCAGTAAGTGGAAGCTAATAAAAATAGTGGCTATGGCTTACTGTTTATTGAACCAGAAAGGAATGAGAAAATAAATTAGTTATCAGGAACACCAAAATTGCTGGACAGCAGTTCAGCCCAGTGAATCGAAAACATAGCTACACAACAAAATCTGTAGAGAATCTTTAAAAATACGTGCCAGCTGGGTGTGGTGGCACAAACCTTTAATCCCAGCACTCAGGAGGCAGAGGCAGGGAGACCTCTAAATTCAAGGTCATCCTGGTCTACATTGTGAGTTCCAGGCCAGCTGGGGTCAAAAAGACCAAAAAAAAAAAAGTACCAAAGCTGGAAGTGGTGGTATGCTCCTCACACCTGTTATCCCAGCACTCCAGACCCTACCTCAAACACAGGAGAGGGGAGGCAGCGCAGGAAAGGCAACGAGATCAGGTTATGACCGAGGCTAAGTTACTCCATATTGCGTGAAGTTCTGACTTTCCAGGTTGTGTCTTGCCCTGGGTGATGCCATTTTATGAAGCAGCAGTTAATTCCATTTTGAGCGCAAATATAGAGTCTGAATAATTTTGTACCTTTACTTGTGCACATAGACACCATCATTGGTCCAATACCAAGAATTAAGGCACAGACTAAATAACTTACCCATGTGTCCTAGTTTGGTTTCTATAGCTGTGATAAAACACTCTGACCAAAACCAACTTGGGGAGAAAAGGGTTTATTTGGCTTACAGCTCACAGTCAACCATTAAGGTAAACCAAGGCAGGAACTCAAGGCAGGAACCTGGGGTTAGGAACTGTAGCACAGACCATGGAGGAATACTACTTACTGGACTACCCCTCTGGCTGGTGTTCAGCCTGTTTTCTTATACAATGCAGGACCACCTGCTCAGGGGTAGCACTGCCTACAATGGTCTGGGCCCTTCCCCAATCAAGAAAATACCTAAAGATATGCTCACAGGCCAGTCCAATTGAAATCCCCCAATTGAGGTTCCCTCTTCCCAAGTGTGTCAAGTTGACAACTAACGCTATCCAGCACACCAAGAAGTAAAGATACTGCTTGTGAGCAGCTCAAAGCAGATTGGACCCATAAGGGCACAAGGATATATTAAAATCATAATAGTACAACCAGGCCTAAGAACTTACTAAAATTTCAACACCCCCACCTGACTCCGTTAAAACAAGGACAACTAACATTGATGGTAACAAATTCACTGGCCTTCATCTACCCACCTGGATGGGTGTCAAGGTATTGACAAATGAAGAACTTCTGTCCTTGTGGACTCCCCTCAACATGGTCCCTATCACTTGATGTGGCCCAGGTGAATTACATGCATCTGTTTATCCATCTAGAACAAGTTCTGCATTTCCCCTAGCTGGTCCTAAGTCTCTGAAGCTCAGTTCAATCTTGTGGTTGGGTTCTGTATGCCCCAGCTCTCTGCCTCTGCCTCCAGTAAAGTCTCTGTTACTCTTTTATCCTTTTCTGATTATGAAGTCTGTGTGTGTACACAGCAATGTGTGATCTGAGAGTTAATATTAGTAATTAACTTTGGAATAAAAGAATCTGTGGTTTCTAACAGTTATCAAGAGAAATCAGTACTAAATTACAGCCAACAAAATTGACATAACTTGTGAACTTAGTGTTATTCAATAAATTCCAACATCATGGAAAGACACAAATGTGTCCATCTGTTTCTGGTGTAGTGCACTCTGTATGTGTGCATGTGTCTGTCCATCTGTCTGTCCGTCTGTCCGTCTGTCTGTCTCCAATGCTTGAGCCTCACACCAGTGATTCTGATGTAACTTGATTTGATTGGAATCCTGGCTTGCCTAAAAGGGGTCCAGGTATAGAGCTGAGGCAATGTAAGTAGCACCTAGAGACTACCTATTAGCTGGAGGCAGGAGCTCTGCTGTGTCATATATATAGTAGATATATAGTATTGAAGTTTAAAGTTTTGCTCAGTAGACTATAGTTTGTGAAATTAAGCAACAAAGGATTGAAATCATTGGAATCTATTTAATAGCCATAAGAATTTAACCTGCATAGTAGCAATTATTTGTTATAATGTTGCTACCCTGTACATCCCCTGCAGTCAAAATCAAACCCATGCTACAGGGATTCTTTCAGTCATTTCCTACAGCAAATCTTAGAAATTTCTTCAAAGGCTGCTGGGTGTGGTGGCACACGCCTTTAATCCCAGCACTTGGGAGGCAGAAGCAGTTGGCTCTGTGAGTTCAAGTCCAGCCTAATCTCCATATTGAGTTCCAGGCCAGCTGAGGCTACAGACAGACCCTGCCTCCAAAAGAACAAAGAAATTTTATTGAAAGGAATTCTTATTTTTACTCACTTTCCTGGCACATTTTCTTATAAACCTCATGTTTTCACTAACGAGGTAGCATTTGCATATTCATGAATTATATCTCTTACTCTGAATATTTCTAGAGACTAGAAAGGGCACATTATTATCTCCGTCATTCTTATCAGCTGAGCACATAGTAGGCTCTCAAGCATTTGAATTGAACATTTTCTGTATCAAGTTAATAAAATTATTTAAATCTTCAAACAATAGTAAATCAGTGCTCCTTGATATCTCTTTTGATATTGTATTTTTAATGCAAATTTGAACCCTTGGGGGTACGTGTCTAAATCCTAGCACATGGGAGGAGACTCAACAGTTCAAAGTTATCCTCAGCTACCTAGGGAATTCAAGGCCAGCCTTGCACCACATAGGAGGTTATATCAACCACTCCCCCCTCAAAAGTAGATTTTTACAAAATCTATATTGTATGCTTCTTTACATTTCTGAATTCAAATTTTAAGGACATATTATTCCATTCTAAGCTATATGTAATTATGAAAGGAGTCGTTTATCTTATTTAGGGAACAGACTGATTTGTGACTGGTTTTTCATATAAATTTAGCTAAAATTATACAAGTAGGTGAAACCTGCTAATGACACCTCTGAAAGTCTTTCTGCCTGTCAGCTTGGAAATTATGCCTCCTGGAAGCTGTAGTATAATAATCTTGTTAATTCTGGAGCGTGCTATTTATCATTGTTTGGTGTTCCCAAACCAAACTAGCAAATAATGCACAACCATTGTATGGGTTGCTCTTTCATCCAGTGACCAAGCATTCTACATTGTGTAGCCTCTAAACTAGCAGAAAGGTGCTAGAGGTCCTTAGAGAAGGTAGTAATTAGACAGACATCAATCACTCTGTGGTTAATAAACCATCTGTCCTTACATAAATTTCCTAGTGGTGATGGATGTGCCAACACACCCACAGGTGATTAAAATTATACAATCAAAGGTTAACTTGTGAGTTAAAAGATTTCCATCTCTTTTCGGCATAGGAAATGTAGAACTACACTGTTAATTTTCATATCATCTGGAAAATGACAATGCTGCTTTTAATAGGAAATCAAGGTTTGTCACTAGTGCATTGTTTTTACATTATCAGACTATTGGTTTCATGGATTAATATCACACAAAAGCTATATATTAACCCCTAAGTGATTAATAAAAAAATGCAAATGCATACATGTTTATACATGCACATAATATTCATATAACAGTCCTAGCCAGTGACCCAGAACATTTCTTTGGTTCCTAATAATATAGATTATAAAATAAATACACAAATGCTGTATTTGTACAGAACAAAACATGTTTTATATAGGAAATTCTCCCTTCATGTACTGATTGCTTGATCGTCATTTTTTTGAGAGCTAATGGAAGCCTTTAGGATGTTCAGTACTTACTAGAAGAAACAGGTTACTGGAGGAGTGCCTTTGAAGGTTGAACCTGGTCCCCAGTTCCTTCCAGTCTCTCTCTGCTTTTTGTTCATCATGAGGTGAGTAGCTTCTGGTACATGGTCCCATGGCTATGCTGTCCCATCTCACCACAGTCCTAGAAGCAACAGAGTCAAACACTATGAACTAAAACATCTGAACCCATGAGCTAAAATGATATCTCCCTCTTTTA